TTAAGTGAGAGTTCTAATTTAAACAACGAACTGGAAGAAGTGACTGCAGGTATCATCACACTTTAAGAAGTAATTTTGTTACTATTCTTTCATTGCACTCTATTAATATTAGTTTTTGTTGCAGATCCACAAATATATTACAAAGACATCGACTTCTCTTTTAATTGTATGGAGGATGAAGAGTATGAACTTAGTAATGAGGGAGATCAAATTAATAGAGGTCAAAGTTTAATGAATTCCATCTTTTTCATTGATATAACAATTAGTTGATGTGTGATTTCAATAAATTTCATCTTTTTTTGCAGATGAGTATGATAAGTTTGGAATTAGTAGTAAAAATGATAATGAGGTTGGGAGTGGTATAATTGGTACTCACTCCTTCCTATTGATACTTTTAACTTAAAACATTTTACATTGTCGGTAAAGTGTTCATGACTAATTTCAAGATTTTCCTTTTTTTTATTGGTAGAATATATAGATGAAGGTGATCCTTTAGAAACCTGTAGTTTTTGCGGAGCTCAACTATGGTTCAATGAAAGAGTTAAAAGAGATGCCTTACGAAGGAATTCAATATTTTCTATTTGTTGTCAAAAAGGTAAGGTAGTTTTACCATCTACACATTCACCGCCACCACTATTCCAGAGATTGTTCTTTGACAAGAAATCACAAGAGTCAAAGAATTTCCATGCAAATATTAGACAATACAATAATATGTTTTCATTTACATCAATGGGAGGGAAAATAAACCATTCCATGAACTCTGGTGGTGGTCCCTATTCGTTTGTATTGTCTGGATTAAATTATCATATGATAGGAAGTTTATTGCCGCCTGAAGGAGCTAAACCATTTTTCTCACAACTCTACATATATGACACTGAGAATGAAGTTTCTAATCGAATCAATGCTGTGAGGTATGTGTTTAAAAATATATCTTTCAATAATTTCTACTTATCTTAATGTATATTAATAGACTTTTCATTGTTTAAATACAGCAAGCATAAAAAAGATATCAATATTGATCCAACAATAGTTAAGCAAATTAAAGATGTCTTGGACGAGGTTAACCCATTTGTGAAACAATATCGAGTGGTCTCTTCATTGATAAAGAATCGTATATTTAATCAATTGAAGTTGCGCTTGATTAGCACAAGGGAACATGATGGTCGTACTTATAATCTTCCATCAGCTTCTGAAGTTGCAGCATTAGTTGTTGGTGATATTGATATGTCATTCAGTAGAAGAGATATTATAGTAGAGGAATTATCAGGAACACCTCAACGCATCAATGAATTACATGTGTCTTACATTCCTTTTCAATATCCTATATTGTTTCCTCTTAGCGAGGATGGTTATAGAGATGACATTGATCATCGTGAGGAAACTATTATTTCAACCAAGGAAAAGAAAAGGGTTAGCATAAGGGAATACTTTGCCTATAGACTAATGGCACGTGGAAATGAGTTATCCCCATTACTTCATGCACGTAGATTGTTACAACAATTCATCATTGATGGGTATACAATGATTGAATCACAAAGACTACTATGGGTAAAGACTCATCAAAAAGAGCTTAGGGTTGATTTATATTAAGGGTTGACTGATGCACTAATTAGCGAAGAACGAAACGCAAATTCTACTGGAAAATGAATCATTTTGCCTTCATCTTTCACTGGTGGGGCAAGATATATGATTCAAAATTATCAAGATGCAATTGCTATTTGTCAATGGGCAGGATATCCAGATCTTTTCATCACTTTCACTTGCAACCCTGCATGGCCTGAGATAACTAGATTTTGTCAGCAAAATTCATTATCTCCTTCTGATCGGCCAGACATTCTATCTAGAATTTTCAAATTAAAATTACAGTCATTGATGAAGACTATCAAGTAGAAGAAAATATTTGGAACAATCCGTGCAGGTTAGTATAGTAATTTTAATTAAAGTTTTAGAATACATGTTTTCTTAATTATAATTCTTATATTTTGTGTTATTTATTACCTCCTAACTAATCATAATAATACTAATTGTTTTTCTTTGTTTGTATAGAAGTATATACTATTAAGTTCCAAAAGAGAGGTCTTCCACATGCACATATTCGTTTATTCCTTAATCCTCAAGACAAAATTAAAGATCCAGATCATGTGGACAAGTTCATCTCTGCTGAGATTCCTGATAAAGAATCCTCACTATTGTTACATGACTTGGTAAAAAGATTTATGATTCATGGTCCATGTGGTAAAAGTAACCCTAAATCTACATGCATGAAAGATCAAAAGTGTAGTAAATATTTTCCCAAGAAATTCAATGAGGAAACAACCATTGATGATGATGGATATCTTACTTATAAAAGAAGAGATAATGGAAAGGTTATTGAAATCAAGGGTATTCCTTTGGATAATAGATATGTTGTGCCATATAATCCTTTACTATTATCCATGTTCCAAGCTCATATCAATGTTGAGAAGTGCAATCAATCTACTGTAATTAAGTACTTATTTAAATACATTAGCAAAGGTGATGATAGGGTAGTAGCTACAATTTATGACAACAATGATGAGATTCAACAGTATTATAATTGTAGATATGTTTCTACATATGAGGGATCATGGCATATATTTGAATTTGACATTCATCATAGATATCCTTCTGTTGAAAGATTAAGCTATCATCTTCCAAAACAACAATTTGTGATATATTGTAATACTGATGATGTAGCTGATTTGCTAGACAAACCAAGGGTTTGTGAGTCACAATTCCTTGCTTGGTTCAAAATAAATAGATCTAATGATGATTTTGCCAAAACATTAACATATTCTAAATTCCCACAATATTATGTTTATCAAAGGGATAAACGAACTTGGAAGCGAAGGAAGAAAGGATTTGCAGTTGGTAGGATTACTCATGCATCTCCAACATCTGGAGAACTTTACTTCCTTAGAATCCTATTAACAAAGGTAAGAGGACCTTCTTCATTTGATGATATCAAAACTGTTGAGGATATTATACACCCAACATTTAAAGAGGCTTGCTTTGTACTTGGATTATTGGATGATGATCAAGAATATATTAATGCAATAAGAGAAGCTTCCATATGGGCATCAGGAATATCACTTTGAAAGTTATTTGTTAGTATGTTACTTTGTTGTTGCCTAAGTCGTCCCGAATTTGTTTGGAAGAACACCTTAACTCTACTATCTGAAGATCTGTTGTTTGTCCCTCATCATGATCCAACCTTATCAGGTAATTTTAAATTAAGAGTTATTTTTTTCATCCTTGCTTTGAAATATAAGCAATATAAAGTAGTAGAAATCTTATTAAAGTTATTCTTGTATAGGGTTTCAAGTATCAATGTTTGATAAGGAACAAGTTGCACTTCAACAAATTGATGCTTTGCTTAAAAAGAATGGTAAAACGCTTCATGATTTTCCATCTCTTCCATTGCCTGAGTCTACATCAATAATTGACTTGACAAATCACCTCATACTACAAGAACTAAATTATGATCGACATGCGTTGCAACTACAAGCGGATACTCTCATCAAGGCCCTTAATACAGAGCAAAGGAATATATTTGACCATGTCATCTCTTCATTGTCTTCAACATCAGGTGGATTCTTCTTTATTTATGGATATGTAGGCACTAGGAAAACATTCTTATGGAATGCATTATCTTCATCACTTCATGCTAAAGGAGATATAGTATTGACTATCGCATCTAGTGGTATTGCTACAACATTATTACCTTCAGGAAGGACAGCACACTCAAGGTTTGCAATTCCTATCCAAATTACTGAATCTTCAGTCTGTAACATAAAACATAATTCTCCATTATCACATTTAATACAATGCACTAAACTCATAATATGGGATAAAGCTCCAATGGTTCAATGTTATTTCATAGAAGCATTTGATCGAACACTTAAAGATATAATGCATTGTAATAATCCTTTTAGTGGAAAGTGTGTTATAATGGATGGTGATTTTCGCCAAATATTTCCTGTCCTACCAAAGGGGGCAAGAGCAACTATTGTAAATGCATGCATTAGCTCTTCACATTTATGGGATCATTGCACAATATTCCGATTAACAAAGAATATGCGACTGTGTTCTTCATCTTCAAACAATGATACCCAAAAGTTGGCATCATTTTCACAATGGTTGTTGGATGTTAGTGATGGAAATTTAGGGGAACCACATGATGATACAACTAAGATAGAAATTCCTCCTGATTTGTTAATCTCCAATTACAAAGATCCCATGGAAGCAATTGTTCCATCCTCTTATCCGAACCTATTAGAAAATTTATCAAATTCAAAATATTTCAATGACAGAGCAATTCTTGCCCCTACCATTGAGAGTGTAAATGAAATTAATGATTACATGTGTTCATTGCTCCCTGGTGAATCAGTTGAGTATTTAAGTTGTGACTCCATTTGTAAGTCCACCCGTGACAGTGATTGCTTTGAAGATTTGTATACTATTGAATTCTTGAATACAATTAATAGCTCTGGATTGCCTCCTCATAGACTTAAATTGAAGGTTGGAACACTGGTTATGTTGCTGAGAAATATTGACCAAGCATTAGGTTTATGTAATGGGACTCGATTACGAATTACTCATATGGGGAAGAGTGTAATTGAAGGCATCACACTAAATGGATCAAATCCAAATCAAAAGGTTTTGATCCATAGAATGGATATGAATCCTTCGGAGAATAGATGGCCATTCCGCATGCAGCGAAGACAATTCCAATAAGTCTTTCATTTGCAATGACTATTAATAAAAGTCAAGGCCAATCTTTGAGACATGTTGGATTATATCTATCGAAGCCTGTTTTTACACATGGGCAACTATATGTAGCATTATCAAGAGTGAGAAGTATGGACGGGCTTAAAATTCTTGTGCAAGATAATGACAACATTAGGAAGAGCATAACTACCAATGTTGTATACAAGGAGATATTTAGGAATTTGATGTAATTTTTTGCTAACCTAATGGAATTGTTACTGTAAAATATATTTGGTTGATTCAATGGTCTATTGATTTAATTACTAATACATGTATTTAGAATTTATAGTTTTTAAGCTTCCCGCACGGGGAGTGAACGCTAGTTTATATAATGTACATATCCAACCAATCTATTCCTATGACAATGTGTTGGTCTAACAAGCTGGACCCAAGCCAATAATTCTTGTCATCACACAACAAGGGATTAATAACCCAGAGAGGGATGAATCCTAGAGACAAATTATAAAAAGCCACAATCATCAATCAATTTTTTCTATATATAATCTATTAATCATTAATTAATCTTTTTTTTAACTGCTGCATTCATATGCAGAGAGCTCTCCTACAGTGGCAGGCTCGCCTTCTCTTAAGCAATTAAGTGGAGGTATGGTCAGAGTCTCTTGAGTCCCATACGCATTCCAGCAAAACGGGTCGTCCAGAAGCTGCCCTTCGTACGGCAACAGCTCAACCTCCGCCATTGTTATGTTGGTGCATGCGATGGTGTCGCTGCAAGCGAAGTGGATCGGAGGGGTACGCACGTCGTACGTGCCCTTTATGCTTCTGTACGACACTTCGTTTACGTGCACCGCCGACGTCTGGTTCCGGCATTCCTTGGACAGGCAGTAGTATTGATCTATGATGATGCAGTTTAGGACGTTGTCCATTTGAATGTTCTCGAACCTCAGCCCAGTCACCGAGCCCATCCCTCCCTGCCACGTCTTGATTCGAAGCCCATTGTCTGACTCCCTTATGACGGAGTTTCGAACTGTTAGGTTCGTCACACATGCCTGCGAATTGTGCACTCCCAGGCTTCCGATACTGCACATAATAATAATAAAACATGGTTATGTACCAGAGACAGATTCTATAACCTCTTAGTTTGCATTTTGCTCCTTTCATGCCTATATAATAGAACACGAAACAACTGAAGGAAAAAAAGGAGTCATGGGGATGTGTCTTTTTAGGTTTGGTTTTGTCTGTCTGTTCTGGTTCTTTATTTCTGATTGCTCTAACGTCCTACAAAATTAAAGATGCTGCCTGATATGATATGATATGGACCATTCCAACTGTTGAAGTGATTGGTCGTCACAGGTAGAGGAAAGAAAAGTAACACTCGTCTTTAAACATTGATCATAGTCTTTACACAAATTGAAAGTAACTTTCACTTTCATTTTCATGAGGCCCGCACTGGGAAGCTCACATGTAGGGTAAAGTTTATAAATCCTACTTATCTTGACATGGGATTCATGACAAATTTATTGTTGTCATTCATCTTCTTCCTTTGAAAATTAATATTTGCTTGAATTTGACAGTAATCATTAAGAAACAGGATTTGTTTTTTCTTGGGTATGTGCTTTGATATGTTTAAAGTTAAAATTAAGATTTCACTCTCTTGTGGATAAAAAGAGGGAATTAGAGGTACCTAATCCCGTGGCTAGGACCACAAGTGACACCCTCTATATTCACATTTGAGCACCCAGGTCCAATTGAAATGCAATCATCACCTGCCAAGTCATCATATTTTTTTAAACCGCACGTCCGAATATGAACAGAAACACGGGACTAAACAGGCAAATGTGGTGATTGAAACTTTGTTGTTTTGTGTGTACCGTTGCTAATCATGGAGTTGGATATTTGCACTGTGTTGCAGTTCTCTATGTGGATTCCGTCGGTGTTGGGGCTGAGCTTAGGCGAAGAGATTGACAGCTTATCAATCACAACTCCTTGGCAGCCATCGAACTTCATGTGGAACTGAGGGCTGTTTTGAATTCTTAGACCAGTCACCGCCAAGTTCGAGCTCATGAAGAACCTTATCATCTATGAAAAGTCCAAAAACAAAAAGAAAAGAACAAATCAGAAACTTTGCTGAGAAAAGGCTCATAATCAATGATTCAGCTGAGAAGTTTACTCACTGTTGGGCTCTGACATGGTCCTGGCAGCGTTTTCCCATTGGGACCCTGAAAGTTCCATTTTTTTTTTTTTAAGTAGAGTTTCAATTTCATTTCAACATCAATTGAATACAGAATTCATCGGGAAGGGCACGGATTACACGTTTCAAGAAATTAAATTGTGCCCACCATAAATACTAAAGGAGGGATCAATGCGTTACTGATATGATAAAATGATGAGATTACCCTGTGAGGTTTGCAAGGAAGCTCCCACCACTGTTGTCCATTGCCTTCTATAATTCCAGTCCCACTGAAAGTCATTTGATCAAGCTTGTAAAACACAAGCCATTGGTTGCGACTATCCTTTTCTGGCCATGAATCTGGTCCCTCTGGAGGCATAAGCACTCCATCCACCTGTTCACATTTCGCACATTAGTCTTCTTCTTATCAAAGTTTCCAGACAAATGATGTTTTGAGGAGATGAAGTGTTCAATTGAAGTTACAAAACTTACTTGAAACACAAGTCCAGGCTGACAGGGACCTGAAAAGATAGTGGAAGTGATTTTGAAACGGTGATTTTCAGGAGCTAGAACCACCCCTGAATCTACTGCACAGGCTGCTTTCCACGCTGCCATGAACGCGGCGGTGTCATCGGCGGCGCCATCTCCGACAGCCCCGAAGGATGTTACGTCGAAAACAGAGCCAGAAGCGGAATGCCCTGGATTATCTGGATGTGGTTTAGAAGGAACACTAGGAGACTTGGAAGGAGGTGAAAAATTATGAACAGGGCTTTTCTGCTTCTTTGGGTGGTGGTGGTGGTATCTTCCTTCTGCATTTCTCCAATTTTGTGTGAACAGAATCATAGTAATGCAGAGCAAAAGAAATGCGCGAACGAGGTCCATGAAGAGGAGATATACTCTGTAAATTTGAAGTGTGAGAGAAAAATGGTGAAAACTAAACAAGGAGGAAGAATAATGACGATGGACCTATTATGGTCTAACTAGCAAGTTTCATTTCATCCTGAAGCAGAGGTTCGTATTTATGATTCAAGACTTAGAGATGGGCTCAAGAGCTGTTTCCAGAGCACAGGATGACACGTGTCAAACCCTGGTTGGCTAGAAGTGTGGGCATCTGGAGGAAACTTTTGGAGGTTCTGGTGCGACTTTTTGGAAGGGTTTCTTGTTCTAATGATCTTCGAAGTTTTTTTCCAGGAAAAAAAAAAAAGAGTTTTGCTTTAAATTTTTCTCTGTTAAGTTTCTTCCTTATAAACTGATCAATGGTTTTGTTGTGGCCCGTGGCATCTCGAGCCCCTCTTCTATGTCCCTACATTACATGAATTTCTGTTTTTCAGGTAATCTGTTGGCTAAGAAATGTTCGGCTATTGTGAGGCCCTAGTTTTCTAGAATATCGTGTTAAAGCTGCAATTCATATGTATATAAATCTCTATATGGTATTGATTTTATAAGAAGCCGTTTTATTTAATTTATAGATTATAAAAATATAACTCAATTCAAACCCTCTACAAAACACAGCAAACCCAGCCCGAGGATTTAGTTTAACTCTAATTCTTTATAGCTTCTAGTTCAAAAAGTGTATTGAAGAGTTCATTATGTTGCATGCCCCTGAATGATCAATAGTAGTCAGCATCCTTTAGAATAATTGAAAAGTTAAGAGAATATGGGTCGGGGAAAAAAAAAAAGGCATGCTAGTATATGTTATGTCAAATGTTTATAAATTTCATATAATTAAATTTATGTATAATGTAAAAGTATGGCTCTGCAAAGTACTGATCCATGATAATATATGTGTTTTTACATCATCTAGTTCAGAAAGTGTACTGAAGAGTGAGGAGCTGAGTGGGTTGCACCCGATTAAATTTGGTATCAGTATTGTATTCTTTATGGAGTATTGATTTTTACAGAGTCAACATATTGGGTGACAAATCCATGTGCATGCTCGTTTATTTTATGTTATTTTACTAATAAATTTCATAAAAATTATCAGTATTTTACACGATGATATATTTATTTATGTAGCATCGTGGCCGCTAGTTAATATATGACGACGTGGAAAGATCAGATGAGCTTTCTTTTTATGTCTTTAGAAACCTATATGCATGTAGACGAATACATATACTACCAAATACACTGAATAACAGTGTTCTTTCCCAATATGCAGCCAAAATATTTTCGACACTTTTTTTTTTTTTGAAAGGGAAAGACTAATCTCAGCAGAAGAAGCTAAACATCTAATTTTAGCTTATAAGGGGGAGGGGAAGAAATAGAAGCCGTGTGTGTGTATCAACAAAATCATATCCAATCATTTATGTGAATTGTTAAATGTTAATACGTACGTTTCTAATACTGATGATTATATAAAATAAAGCATGATGAGCACACGAAGTGAAGAGAGAAGATAAAAAAATGGTATTGAGCAATATTTTGGGAAAAAGCGGGGATCGGGAAGACTGGGCAGGGAATAAAGAACAGAAGTGTCAATTTAAGAGTGAATGTGGTGATGGTGTGTGAGAGAGAAGAATCAATCTCGTGACTCTTTGTTGTTGGGTAGCCAGAACCTCCATGTATGGCCATAAAACTAGGCCGCACTATTAGGTCCACGACAGCAGAATTGTTCATTCACGGGTCACCAATCCTTTTTTATAATTGTTTCAAGAAATAAACAAAACAAAACAAAAATAGCCTCAATCCACATGCATGAGTAATCACAATTATTTTGACGAACTAAAATTATACATGTTATCATATATGAAACAATGGGATCATCATCAGGTCATCAACTGGCCAGCGACTCACCTGGTGAAATATCTCAGCGATCTGATGCGCCGATCGAACTTGTCTTTGTGATTGCGTGAAAGAACAACGGACGTAGTAAGTTGCGTTAATTGTGTGGTTGAATAATGGGTGGGGGGAGAGGAGGCACTTATAGACGAGGAAAATGGAAACTGTAGACGACGGGAGTGCGTGAGCGTTTTGTCCTACCTGTCACGTGGGGACTCTCACGGGCGACATCTCTGGTGGCTTTTCACTTTTCGTGATCTCATGTTCAGGGGTGACATCGGTGTGTTTGTGGCTCCCATGAACGACACGTCGGATTGGCTTGCTTCACGCGCCAGGATAGTGGTTCTTTTCTTCCATTGTGGTTCCAGTATGGCCATCATGGCTTACGCCAGGGAATTTTGTTCCTCACGTTAGCTTTACATGTGAGAGAGATCACCCAATGTTAATTTAATTAATTAATAAAGATTTCATCAATCACTTACAAGGTCACATCATATCGGTTCAAATCTTACTAGTAATATAAAGACGAGTGTGATTTATAAGCATTTTTATAAACATTAAAGCATGCGTGGATCTTAATAAATTCTTAGAACTTAATTTGTCTAAATTTTTATTCTCTCAATTTAAAAATATAAAATATTTTTAATTGAATTTTACTTTTTAATAAAATAGTTACCTATTTTTTAACTAATCTTATCTTTTTATATTTATCTTTATTAAGCACCCTACAATAAATATAAAGTTATTATCAACAAGGACACTTTTAAAAAAAATATAATGATTACACCTCAAAAAATTAAAAATATCTTACATTTTTTAATATTTAACTTCTCAAAAAATGTCTTAAATTTTTGAACAAAAGAATTATTTATTAAATAAAAAAAAACTTTACATGTAAGAGGATCAGTACTAAAAGTGAACTAATTATTCAATCATTTAAGACAAATGGTTCAATAATTAATATTTTTTTATTTAAAAATATAAGACATTTTTAATTAAATCTTACACCTTGATAAAATAATTGCTTATTTATAAATAAACATTATCTTTTAATATTTACCTTATTTAATAAAGTATTTTACTTTAAAATAAATATAAAGTTATTTATTTATTATGGATACACTTTAAAAAAAAGATAATAATGACATCTTCAAATACTAAAAGTAATTTACATTTATGAACATCTAATCTTTCAAAAAATATCTTATATTTTTTAACGGAAGGAATAGTCAAAATTGTAATTAAATCGTAGTTGGATAAGTCATAAATAAAATATTTTATTGAAATAGTCAATACACTAATTTAATGATTTTGGATATAGCATGAGCCTAAACCTTTAAGAGCTTTTTTTTTTTTTTAAGAATGGCATTCAAGGACCTTTCAAGGTAACTTATCACAATAAGGGCTCATCAATTTTACATCAAATATTATCTTATAAAAATAAATATATGTTGTTGTTAATAGCTTAACCTTGTTAAGTTTTTAAAGAAATCCTAACAAAAATACAAGTCAAGATTCAAGTTTTTACAGTAACATATACATATTTTTTAGAAAATGTCCTATGTAAAACTGATTAGTCATTGTTGTGATAAATTTCTTGAGAGGACTTTAAATGCCATTTTCCTTTATATAAAAAATTAGTGTGGTTTTATTTTTCAAACTTATGTTAAATCTCTTAATCATGTGCTCAAAATGGTGCATGTGAATGTATAATTCTTTTAAATACGTTGGATTCAGAGAGACCGTGCGTGTTAAAGTTCAAACGCAACATTACCAATACTCACATGCGCAGCCCTATTAATTAGGTTGAAAATCCAAGAGAGCTACTTACGCACTGTGAGTTTGAGTTCAGACGGATGACGGGACGAAGAAGGGACACGTATATGTCGGGAATAATTCACGAGATGGTGTTTTTTTGTGTGTGGTCACACTCACGGGCTGTGTATAATATACATGCAATGGGATTAAAAGGTAAAATATTATACATTATGTGGTTGGCCAACAGAATTAATAATTAATAATTATTTCATAAATGGCTTTATTGATAGGGTTGTGAATCCTAAAAGGCTGCAAATGAACCCAATATTTTAAGCTTATGATCTTTGTTCCCCCCCCCCCCCGACCGGCCACCGGCTCCCCGTAAATATTGGAGGCTGATTTTGATAAAATATAAAAAAATAACGACACCAGCCACTTGGGGCAATAAACACTGCTTGATGTTCCAAGTTCACAGGCAGTTTACCCGGCCCATTCATAAAGGCCGATGACATTGGGCAGCTTACATCGCTTTCTCAAGCCACATTAACATGCTTAAGTAACTTAACATTAAAATGTATTTTCTGACCAATAAAATTTGGTCTATAAATATTTGGCTCATAACTTATAAGATTATGGGTTTAAATTTCATTACTAATATAAAAATTTTGCTGATAGGTAATCTAGAAGTATTTATGTAAACATTCTTAAAGTTTAGAGGCATATACTGATTTTGTTAAATCTCCAAAACTTAACTCACTTAAGCTTTTAATTTAGTTATTTTCTATGATAGCAAGTCTCTTGTAAGATATCATAGGAATGATGAATATTATAAGCAATTCATTATATGCGTTGGCATGTTATTCAAGCATCTAATGAGAGCTTATTAAAAGGGGGAAAAACATAAATGTAAAGGTTTCCATGTCATAGAACATTAGAATTGTCTCTAATAAAAAGCAAATGTCAAGAAAGAAAAAAATTGTGACATAATTTCAACTTGATTCCACCTAACCTTAGCTTGAATTGGTTAACATTATAATTGGTTTCAACTTGCAAGTGATTATTATTTCATCTAGACATCAATTGATTATATAGTTAATCTCTCCGTCCTGTAGAACGTAATTGTATGTGGTAAGAATTTAGAGCTCGTTTGGATTTTAATTAGGCATGATTGATTAATATGATTAATTTTAATTATAATTAATTATGTTATGGCACAATTTGTTTGAATACTAAAATTGATTTTAGTATGCAAATTACCATAAAGGACATTGCTTTTTAAAATTAAATTATTGATAAAGTTGTATTTAATATTATTAAATTTTTTAAACTTTATTTAAAAATTAAAATATATTATTTAATAGTAAAATTGAATATATAAAATCTCTTAGAGCTTATTTCAAAACGTGATTTTGACTTAATAATCAACCATCAACTTTTTTTGCTGTTTAGGTATTTTTTTAAAAAAAAATTGATTATTTTTGCCCAAAAATCAATTATAATGTCTTGTGAAAACAAGCAGTTAATAGTCATGAACAATGTGCCTGTTTAGATTGCAATTTTTAAATTTTAAATGTGTTTTCAGCTCCATGTTTGAGACAAAGCTAAGAGAAGTAAAATAACGGAGCTTTTGAAGAAAAAGACACTTTCTAAACAAAAGGCAAAAATGTTTAGAACTTTTTCATGAGTGATGCTTGATATCCTAGTTTTTTTTAGAATAATTTTGCCCTAAGAACTTTTAAAAGGGTACAACTTTACCCCACCGTTAACTTGGACTAACATTTGATCGTTAAATCTATGCTTTTGACTAACACTTTACGTGTGTGATATTTTGAGAGGCTATTCTTCTCCCCTTCCCCCTCCCCCTCCTCTCTCCCCATGTATCATTCTTCTTCTTTGTTGGTGTAGACACTATACTACTTCCTCTTTCTTTTCTTCTTCTTCACCCATAACCCTCCATTTCAAGGATAGATATTAAATTTTAGTTCAACTTAGGGAAGGAGGGGCAAAACCATTGCTAGAAAAGGAACTCACAAATAAAAATAGGAAATCAATAAATTAGCACACCCAACAAATTCAACGAAAATGCATCAATCTCATTTCAACTAAGAAACATTTTTTGATTGGCCTAGAAGTGAATTGTAACATAAAAAAAATAGCTTAAGGATAACTGGGTAATTAAGGATAAATTAGACAACTAAGAGTTAACTTGAATTAAAAAGTAATGTGTGAATAGCTAATAGGTATATCGGATCCTAATTAGGGTTTAGAATTAGACCCTAAGTGATATTGGGCCTAGTTAGATGGATCTTTTGAGAGCCTTGGCCACAGCCAAAAATTAATTTTTAAGCCTTCAAATTTGCATTTCAACTCAAAAAAATAGAGTTTTGAGTGGGAGTTCGAAAGTAAACGAAGAAGGCTCTACTAGTATTTGTTGTGGGCATCCAATTAAATTTATTTGGAGCTTCTAATTACCTTAGTAAATACTTATAACCTCTTCTCTTCCTTTCTTGTGCATTTTCCTCATAATTTTTGGGTAATTATTTAGGAATCCAAAAATGGGTTATGAGTTTACCTAAAATTATGACTTCAATGTGATTAATGAGTGTTTATTTAAGTGTCTAACATTTAAGTTAAGATGTTATTGATGCTTTAAGATTTGAAAGTTGGGTTTGAAATAAATCCTAAAGCTAATTAGTTGAGTTAAGAAGGTTATGAGTTATTAGTGGTGTTGATTAGACTAATGAGAATCTAAGTAAACTAATGAAACCTAAAAATAAATTTAGTTTTAAGTAGATAATCACGATAGGATTTTTGAGTTTAGGCATTGATTAAAGTTAATTAAGGATAATTAGTCATTCATGACTATTGATGTATTTGATTGTAGATTAATCATTATTGATACTATTGAGCTTATTGGAGGCTCCATTTAATATTCACGAGTACTCCTGATTGGTAAACCAAGAGTTAAGGTAATCAAAAATTTTAATTACTATATATCATAATGTTTGCAACTGTAAGTCATGCTAAGTTATCACTGGCTTGAGATAGGTAATACGAACATGTTGGTTAATATGTTGGCTTTAAGTTAATGTTATGTGATAAACGTGCCTAATAGTGATAAATATGCTTTATGGCTATGTGATAACCTGTAAGTTTTATTTATGAATGTGTTGAGCTGTTGAGGTATGTATAAGTATATATTTGCGCATGTTGACTGAACATACATCATTATGAGGGATAAGAGTTCATCTTAAAGTAGCAGAAGATTAGAATGGTAAATCCACATGGTTTGGCCTCCACTGAGTTTGCGCATAGTAGTTTGCAACATCTGGGAAAATATAATCTTGGTTT